GCTGAATGGGGGCTTCGTGGTCTATTGTAAAATACAGTTGTAGCATAAATTCCCCAAGCGCCCCCGTTTTGACCTTCGGTGTAAATGTGCTGCAAAGTGACAGGTGTGTCTGTTAATTAAAGCTCAGAGGTAATAACAGGGAGGCAGGCAGGAGTGGCTTTTGAAAAGAACTGAGGCCCAGAGGGTAGAGGATAACCGGACCGGGTTTACATGAAGACTGAAGATCTCTGTTGTTTTTTTGTTTTGTTTTTTAAACAGACAAAAAGTTTATTTGGTAAAGAAAAACATTTGTGAAATCCAGTTTTGACTTAAAAAAAAAATGGAAGCATATTTCTGTAAAAATGTTCTGCTAAAATTTATAGCTAAAGAAAGATTCAGAAAAAAAATTAAATAAGGTGAATGCATTGCAAAACTATTCACACTTGTATAGATGTTGGCCACCACAAAGTATAAAGGGTTTATTGGGAATTTAAGTGAGAGACCTAAAAAGTAAATAAATAAAAACTGTGGCATGCATTTGTATCCATCCACATTGAATCTTATTTTTGTCAAATATTTGAACTAAATCTTTATATAATCTCATGGAGGCTTCTCCAATTCATCTAAAAATGGAAAGAACCTTTATACAAGGAGTGCTATTGAGAGAATATTAAACATTTTGTTTGCCACAAGTCGTATGAGGGAGCGTCGGAAAACTAACGCCTGACACCAGTTCTCTCATAAAACATGGTGGTGGCAGCATCATGCTTTGGGAAAGCTCCGCTTCAGTGTTGAGGGAAGATGGATGTCACGACATCAGTTATGCTCTGCTCTGGTTGCAGCTTGACACGGTGTGAAAAGGTTTATTTATTTCAATCAGACAATAAAACCTAAATACATAAACAAGCCAAGTAGTCATACCAATTTTACAAACAGCTCAAAAAGGAGCCAGTAGTAGATAAAACATCCCTCGTACAATCATTTAAGTCTCTCCACACCCTTAAAGTATCCCCACATTAAAAAAAAACTCGAAACTCACATTCTCATTATTGACTGAACAATTACTTACGCACTAACATTCATAGCAGTTTTGCCCTTTGAGTCACCCATCCTACACAACTGTCATGATGTAGTGATTAATAAAGAGTCAAAAGTAACAATAAAACAAACTTACCAAAAAACAAAAGCCTGGAGAACACAGGGAGCACAGTGGAACAAAAAACAGGAATCAGAAACAAACAAAAAGCCAGCAGGGTAAACCAGGGAAGGAATGGGATTTAATGAGAGGAACCAATGAGGATTGAGAGCAGCAGAAGTGTTTAAATACTGTCAGGGTGAATGTTGGAACAATAGACCTGGGCTGATTAGCTAACAGGTTGCAGGTGTGAGGGGAGGGAGAGAGAGAGAGAGAGAGAGAGAGAGAATGGCACAGTGGGTGAGAGAGAATGAATCTAAATAACAAACAAGTAGACAAAAACAAACTAGAATGACTAAGAAAAGACCAAGCTAAAGCAAAACAGAAACAAAGCTGATCTAACCAAAGTCACTTGACTCAGGAACACAGAATATATCAACGACAACATGTTTTCCAATCGGTTCAGCATTTTAAACTGGTTTATATTTTGAATTTCCAGTTCATCATTTTATTGTCACTTCCATAAATCTGACCCACACGCTGATACACAAAAACTCCTACTGGTTGTTCTGATGCTTTGTTGTTGTTTTACGTCTTAAATCACAACCCCTCTTTCTGTCACTAAACATTTTTTGAACATTGAGCGGAAGATGACGGCTTCTTGCTTTGGACATTTGATTTTTTTTTTTAAATAAAGGGTTTATATGCTCCTGATACTGTATAATTTCTTTTTGTGTGGCATGCAGCGGCTGAACATATAAACGGACTTCATGTGTATGTTTATTACACACGAAGAAATGTAAAACGTTGTTGAACTGGAAGGTGAGCTGGTGAGAAAATGCAGTTGGAAAAAACAAAACAAAAAAAAAAGTTGGGGGATCAACAGGGAAGAGACTTTGAGGGAGGAAAAACGGGAAATTAGGCACCAGAGAGCGAGCAGCTGCGAGGAGGTGCAGGTTCTCCTTGTTAAACTCGCCACCATATGGATGGCATCTGAGCCGGTTCTGGGGGTGATTTTTATAACCGCTTTTACGGTTTTACAAGCCTCCAATGATCCAATGAGAAATAACCTTTCCTACCTGCCAACGCGTGACCTTTGAGCTCACGAGGACGAATAAATGCAAACACTGTCCTGCGCTGCGTTTTACATCTGACCAGACGTTTGGACGATCTCCTTGGGCGCAGATGTTCACCTGTCCTCGCCCGTTCTGCTGCTTTTCTTTGTGCACCGCGCCATCCATCATCCGGTCCTTCAGGGGTCTTACGGACGATTAAAGGCTCACGGAGAAATAAATCTATTTAAAGTAAAAACAAACTGTGCTGATTTCGGTTGTCTTTTTTTTTTTTTTTTTTGCTAACCTGATGGATGTGCTGCAGTAGCTGAAGGTAAAATAAATATGTTCAGCTGAAAACTGAAAAAGCGCTTTAGTCTGCCCAGAGAGGGCCATCATGTGTATCCCATTACTTGGCAATTACAATCAGACTTAAGTGTTCGACGGCATATTATGCAACATTGAGCGACAATAATTGCTGTATTTTCAAGATATGCAACATAATTTTCAGCGCTTAATGACGGCTGCGCATATTTTGCTTCCTCAAATCGTTAAAGGAATCAAAGTCACTTCTCGGCGAAGCCTTTCTATGGGAACCTACCCGCACTCAGACTCACACACAGACTCGCACACACATATTGTACATTAAATCTGCCAAGAAGCTCATTGCCGCTCATGCTTTTCCCATTGAGTTCACTGGGTTTCGCTGCCGTTGTCATCCGAGTTGTCGAGGCTCTCAAGCAAATTGCATTTCTCAGGCTTTTCTCTCAGCGTTTGAACTGGAAATCTGAAGGGGATCGGGTTTCCACTTGTGGGGGCCGGGGGAAGGGGTCGGAGAGAGGGTTCTCTCTTCTCGTCCCACGTGAGACTTGAGCGGACAGACAGTTGGTCCACGCTCTGCTGTCAGTGCTCAGCAAGTGTCAAACGTCTGACTCGTCCAGCAAGTCAAAATAAAGCTTTCTCAAAACATTTCAGCAAATTGGACCACGGCGCTTTCCAACTGTGTGTGTGTGTGCGTGTGTGTGTGTGTGGAGCGGGTTTGTGCCTCTGAGACCTTCTGTTGATTCCCTCCATGCATTTCTTTAAACAATCTTCTCTTTAATCAGCCTATCGATCAATCAAGTTTATTTGGATAGCACATTTCAGCAGCAAGGCGGTTCAAAGTGCTTTACGTCGTAAAAACGCAAAAACAAAGAGTCATAAAAACGTCATACAGTCACCAATCGAGAAACCACTATCAAACACGGCCCTCTACTCTTCAACAAGCTGTAACAATTCAGAATAAACCCCCATATATAAGCCATGCAAGATGTGTATTTACTTCTCTGGTTGGAACTGAATGCACTCATTGTAACTTAGTGCAGTAGAGCTTTTAAAAACACATTTCTTGCTTTCGCTCTCAGCTGTTTTGGAAAAAAGAAAAAAACAGTACGAGACATAGCATGGAGGAAACTGTCCGACCTCTCTGCATCAGTTGTGAAAACAGATGCTTGAGCCAAAACATTTGGTCTATTGTCCTCCGATCCGAGAGCATCTGTGACTTTTAACGAGGCGGATCTCTGTGAACCAGCTACAGGAGGACATGTGGACACCAGAACCGTCTAAGCAGAAGACTTACGGGCTTCACCTGCACATCTGCTTCATGTGCCCACATGTGAAGCAAAGTACTAGCAAGATCAGGGACTTCAGAAAGATGAAAACAGATTCTAGTGGATCATAAGTACCCAAAACTATTAGTATTGCCTCTCCCCTCCCCTCCAACTTGTTGTACTGAAAGTACCTGATGGACAAAGCAGCAGAGTTTTTGCAAACATTGTTGTAGATCAGAGCTTCCTGGGTATTCGAGGCTGAGTAAAATGAACTAGGAAATGCTGATGCATGTTTAAATTTTGGGCTGCACAGAGCTGTTGTCTTGCAGCAAGAAGGTTCTGGGTTCAATTCCCAGCCCTGGTCTTTCTGCATGGAGTTTGCATGTTCTCCCTGTGCATGCGTGGGTTCTCTCCGGGTACTCCGGTTTCCTCTCACAGTCCAAAAACATGACTGTCAGGTTAATTGGCCTCTCCAAATTGCCCCTAGGTGTGAGTGTGTGTGTGCATGGTTGTTTGTCCTGTGTGTCTCTGTGTTTCCCTGTGACAGACTGGCGACCTGTCCAGGGTGTACCCCACCTCTCGCCCAGAACGTTAGCTGGAGAGGCACCAGCAACCCTCCCGACCCCACTGAGGGACAAGGGTGTAAAGAAAATGGATGGATGGATGGATGTTTAAATTTGCTGTACGAATCTCGATCCAGCACCTTTTGAAGTCCAGCGAGTGAGACAGGACGCCACAGTGAATGCACAGAGGTGGGAGAGTGGCAATATGGGGGGAGCACATGGGAAAACCCCATGCAAGGAGGATGACATTTAAACAGTGTTCACGGTTGATCAAAAGTACAGGCTGTGCAGATTTCACGTGATTTATGTAGAATAAAGCATAAAACTCTTCAAGACAGTGGAGAATTCTTGGAACATTACGAAAAGCAAGAGGAACACAAAACAGAATATCAACTGAGCCAGTCTGATACATGAGTACGCTTTGATCAAAACCACTGGCCTCATCGAGTCCTGCAACTTTTAGATGCGTCTCTTGTCCTACACGCTTGGACTAAATGGCTACTTTACCTCCTGAACATGTAGCCAGACTCTACTCTGCTAATGAACTAATATTGGAGCCAAGTGTGCTGAAACAGAGACGTATCTAAAAGTTGCAGACCACTGGTCTAAACCAATCCACAGTAACCTGGGATGTTAGTTTAGAAGCAGAGACCAGAGCACGAATGGGATCCACATTTTGAAAGCCGTATCACTATTCTGCAATTCACCTTTTTTTCCCCCTGCCTGTCTATATCATAAAATCCTAAATGAATGCGTCTTGGCTTCTCTTAGCAGAACTGTGTTTTGGTTTTGTGCTTCATCTCAGTAAGTAATGTGACCTGTTCTGCACTTTCTCCTGAAACTGTAACTCACTTTGCATCCTAGCACACACTCTAAATTGTTCCCCCTTTGCACCAATTAAATTTCCTGTTTCGCGCAGAGGGACGGCGTAAAGCCCCCTGATCGATAATCGCGGACGGCGCATTCCTCCACCTGATCATCTTTCCGACGTCGCCCGACGTAGCGGGATCGTGAAGGTTGAACTGAGCCGACCAAAAGTTGTGTCTTGGAGTGAAAAGCGAGAAGCCGCTGACGCACGTCGGTCCCCGAGGTGGCTGAGAAGAGCGATCGTTTTATCTCTGTGTCAGGTAACCACAACAGTGGGGGTTGTGTGAGTGTTTACATCACGATAATAGAGCCAGGCCTCACCGCACTGCCTCCCTCCTCCTTCGTCGTGACGTTGTTTTTGTGTGCCGTTGCCAGCAAAACTGTTCCACGTCTCCTCCACATTGCTTCCCCTCTCCTCCCGTCACGTGAAGCGTGACCTTCAGATACTGATTACAGGCCCACTTTGAGTGCTTTTCTTTTGTTTTTGTTTTTTTCCTTTTCGTCTGTGGCAAAAAAAAAAAAAAAAGAAGGTTGATACGAGGGAGGAAAAGGAAACCATGAAAGCAGCTGGAGTAGAAGAGAGCTTTCGAAATGTTTTTTTGTTTTTTTCTAAACAGAGAGCCAGTGAGTTGGGAAGGAAAAAGGAGGGGGAGAAAAAAAGAGGAGCTGGGAAGAAGGGTGGAACACACAGAAATCTGAATCGCTGCCAAACTATTGTAAGAGTAACCGCTCTGCCTGCAGCTGTCTTGGAAATCTTTCTGAAACCACTCGTTTCCCCCTGCACATCTGTCCTCATCCCTCTTCTTTGTCTTCTCTTGATGAGGATCTGATCACCACAACAGACAGGCCTTGTTTGAGCCGAGGGGAAATCTCGCCACACACTAATAACATGAAGGTGCACTGAGTGATGTGTGTTTAGGGGAAATTTGAAAGGATTTTTTTTTTTTTTTTATTCTGCTGAAAGAAGCAAAATGGATTCACCTCCCAACCTGATTCTCGTGGGGAGAGATGGATTAGAAAGGAGGGCACTTTAAATGGAAAATGGCGGCGTGCCAAGTGGCAAAGTGGCCTTTCAGCTCTCTGCTTGTTTTATACAGACTCCTCCATTTACCAGTGTTGTTTCAGGTGAGCTCTAGTGCAGGAGTATTCGCGCTTTACCAATATAAACTTCAAAGAGTTTGTTGGGATTTTTGCACTATAGGAAGAGTTGATTTGATTGTAGCTCAGACAGGAGGTGGAAGAAGTCAAACTTTTCACAGATTATCCGTCCGATGTTACGCTGTCGTGACACCGTGAGAGTTTTACAGATACGTAAAAAACACATTCTTCATAAAAGTTACATATGGCTATAAGGACGTAGCGGAGAGATCCACGCTAATGCTGGGGGAGCTGCAGAGATCCAAAGCTCACATGGGAGAATCTGCCAACAGCATCTTATAACTTATGTATCCCATGTTTTGGGCTTTTATTGTAAAATGATAAAGGAAAGAAAGCACTGAAAGAACTCCAAGAGAGAATCCTGTTTACAGTTTGCATGTCGAAATTCGTCGATTTATACATGCAGGATCCATTTGATTTTCAAGCCGAAACAACACGCCAATCCGTCATGCGAAATACAATTACATACGCTGAAAGTTTGTGGTTTTTGACGTGTAAAAAAAAAAAAAAAAAGTGAAAAAAGTTCAAGGGGCGTAAGCGGCTGTACCTGCTAAAACGTTTTCCGCTTACAATAAGCTGTAAAAAGGTTTGTGTCGAGGTGCGTGTGAGGGAGTGACTTCCTGTCAGAGTCGTAAAAACGGGGATAACACACTCGAAGGTACGCCTGTCACACATCTCCTTGCAAATGGGCTGCATGTGTCTCATAAGTCAAACTCCAGTCGTCCCCTTTTTGCATTCAGAGCGCCACGCTGTTTGCTCTTATCTGTGCGTCTGGGCAGCAGGAGGAAGGGCGAGCAGCTGACAGGTTGTAGTTAAGCTCTCTGTTCACTCACCGCTCCTGGGCTGCAAATAACGTTTGCCTTTAAGTGCTGACTAAGAAGACAGACTGTGTGTTTTTAAATTATGCCTGACATAATTGAAGAAAAGAAAGGAAAGCACAAATGACCTGTCAGCTCACGGCTGCACACATGTATGGTCTTCTGTCTCAGAGTAGACAGATGTCTCTGTGAGTCTGCTCACGTCCCTACTGTCCAGACCTGCCGGCAACAAGCATCCGAGTTCATTTTACTGCAAGTATTTTACCAGGAATGAGCTTAGTAAACAGGTAACAAATACACTGCGCCTATTATGTCTTATCACAACATTGCCACAAATTGTAAGGTATTTTATTGAGATTTTATGAGACATGCCATCATAAATTCATGGGTAATTGAGAAATAGGTCAATTTTACAACTTTGTTTTATTTTTATTTGTAGTTTTTCACAAACCATGTCGGTGAAGAAGATGTCCTGGTCAGATAAGGTCAACATTAAACTTTCTTCCCTGCATGCAAAATTCTACGTCTGAACCCTGAATGTGCCATCGCACATTCAGGGTTCATCGCGTGGTGGCAGCATCATGCTGATGGGATGATTTTCTTCAGCAGGGACCAGAGGCGGGTAGGGTAGCACTACTTAAGCATATTTTTACTCAAGTAAAAGTAAGAATAAAAAAAAGAAGAAGAATTTGGTAGAAAGGCAACTTAAGTACCAAAAATCTGTCATTTATCAATCAATCAATCAAATTTTATTTGTATAGCACATTTCAGCAGCAAGGCATTTCAAAGTGCTTTACATAATTAAAATAAAAACAGCATGTGACATTGAATAAACAATGAGAAAGAGAGACATTTTGAAAAAGATTAAAAAAGATAAAAACATTAAAACCCGCACCCCTTTTAGGACTTCAGTTAAACGTTTAACTTGGGCTCTAACCCTCTGGGACTTTAGTCAAAAACACCATTTGACAAGGACTCCAACCTCTAGGTTTTTAGTTGAAACGCTGTCAACCGGGACTCGAAACCCCATAGGACGTTAGTTAAACGTTGTTTAACTGGGACGTTTTCCGGGGGGCTTTACATCATTAAAACGTAAACAGTGAGAAAGAGAAATAAAAAGAAATTAATAAATAGATAAAAAGTAAAGATAAAGACATTAAAAACATCAAAGACATCAAAACTCACACTCTAACCTAATTTAGCCATAAGCAACTCTAAACAGGTAGGTTTAAAGTCGAGATTTAAAGGCACTCAGTGTTTCAGCTGTTTTACAGTTTTCTGGAA